AAATGTCTAAGAGAAAAGGGATATAATATTAATATGTGCAAATAACACTTTTCTCAAAGCCTTTATGACTCAAGCAAGTAAGATTGTAAGAGTATTTGAAAATTTGGTGACCTAAAAGGAGTCATTGGCCTAATGCTCGCTAAAAGGGTCATATAGAAAGCAAAAGGGAGAGAAATTGATAAAAGTCATCTTCTCGAACCTTTATAACTCGAACGAATAAGTCTATAAGGGTATTTGAAAACCTGATGCTCTAAAGTCAACTAATTTGAGAGTCATTGGTCTAAAACTCGATACATAGGTTATATAAAAAGCAAATGAGAAGATGTAAGAAAAAAGGAGAAAGAAAACAAGAATAAGTGATGAAAGACACAATTGCAGTGATTAAACCCCCAAAAATTTGGTTGATAGAACTATACATTTAATGCAAGGCAAGTAGCTTAGTTTAATTTTAAATGTTAGAGGAATAAAAAGTAGAAGAATCTCTACTTGTCGAATTGTGAACTTGTGATAGCAAGATCTATCCAAACTAAGAAGGGTTAAAAATTAGAATTAACTAAACTTCAAATTTAAAACACATCCCGAGAAAATTGAGTGAAGAAAAGAAATGATGACCCGAAAGAAGAAACGAAGATTTGAAAGAGTCAAAGACCAATTTAGTGAAAACACGAAGTGTTAGAAGAAGAAAAAAACGAGAAAAGAGGTTAAAAACGAAGAAACAGAGTTCGAGGACTAAAATTAAATTCTTGAAATTTAAGTTACACTTTGCAGTCGCATAGTGCACTCTACCATGGGGTCACATAGTGATCTTCAGAGAGTTTTAGGGCCAAGTTTCATTGAACTATGCTATAGCATTGATTTGTACTATATTAATTTTGACGAAAACTTTTGGTTTCCTTCTATGACTAAAATTCTTGTGGACACAAATCTTGAGACGTCTTTTAAGACCTAGGGCTGTCCATAAATAGGGGAGGATGCATCATAATACATTCATAGACATTTTAAAGCATAAAAGAAGGCAAGAAGCACGAGATTGATTTAAAGACCCGAAAATTCAGTTCAATATATAATTTGATGATATCGATTCTTCAATATTTCTTTTGTTTTATTCTTCCTAACATGTTAGGCTTCATTTATTTGCGTCAAGAAAATGATCAACGATGTGATATAAATTTCTAATCTTTAGTTTTACATATTTGACATCAAAAACACGTTTTTGGATATTGAATGATTTATATGAATTTTTTCTTCACTATTATTGTACACGATAATTGTTTAAATGTGATGACTTATTTTATGCATTTGAAAGAAAGAAAATAGTCTCAATGTGAAACAAATCGTCATAAGGTGCAATTGAAATAGAAATATATAGCTATGAATTATGTGAATCTTTAAGCTTTCGTAAAAAAATTCATACATTCTTGTACGCTCACATTCATTGTAGGAAATGTAATCAAGTCATATATGAGAATAGGTTTGATATTACTCGAAAAAGATTGTTGAATAAAGTGGTAACATTGATTCGTCAAAATTCAATCTCACTGTTAAGATGTAGAATTAAAGTTAAAAAATGACTATTGCATGGGAATTTGAGATCCTAGTACATGTTTTTCATTAAAACACATCAACTTTCATTAAGTATAATTTATATTTATTTTGGTTAATTCATTCATAATTATATACTTAACTTACTCCAGTAATAATTCATCACAACAAACACATATTGTTATTCTTGTTTTGATTATAGTCACGATAATAAAAATTGAACTAAATCAATTCCCATGGAATGATATTTGAACTCAAGTCCACTTTATTACTTTTTAACGAATCGTACACTTATGGAGGTTTTAATCAAAATACACTTTCATGAACACTTACTGCATAAAAACAGTTATCAACAAAGAGTCCAACCATGATTCAGCACGAGAACTCTCTTTAACTTGCTTACCCATCAACACAGAATCTCCCCAATGCAAAAGCTTCCTCTAAAGAAGGGATCAATCATTTCTAAGCTCATTCGTGCATGGAAACTTTAACAGGCTAAAGGCACAGAACTTCAAGGGAAGATAACTCACAATTTCACCGATGACAAGACAAGACAAATGTTACCAGGGTTGAAGCCAGACCTTTAGTATTGTGGGGTCAAAATTTTAAAAATAATTTTTTTAATAAACAACATAATATCAATGAAAATAAATTTATATGTATTTTGACACTTTGAAAACATCATATAATTACATCATTATTAATATTATTAAATAAAATTTGCTACTTGTATAGTTTTATTTATCATTTTATTGACAAATGCTAAACTAACCTTGAGTAAATTAAATTGAATATAGAAATTAAATGAATTGAAATAAAATTCAAATTTAGTTCAAAAAGTAAATGAAATTCAAATTTAAAACAAATATAATTCAAAAGTAATTCAAATTGCATTTATTCCGTAACGACCTAAAAAATTTACATCATATTTCATGTAAGACTTCCGAATAAAACGATATAAATTATATTGAAAAATTTATCATGCAAAAATAATAATTAATTGAATTTTTTAAAACAAGAAACGAGTTAAACGTCTTTTTTGAAGCGTACGTTTTATACATATTTAACTATTTTCAATATCCATTTGGATCATTCAATATGAAAACGATGTAATTTTCGAAATAAACTTTCCCATGACATAAACGATTTGTGAATTCAAATAGCACATGATCGCAAACGAATATTATCGAAATTCTCAAAAAATTAATTTCAAATGCTCTACTTTAACATGTCATAACTTTTGCGATAATTGACCACTTTGCACACCATTAATGAGTGAAAATCTAAGCCATGAACACTTCGAAATGGTATTAAGAAAACAATATTTTGACTTTATTTGGCATTCCCACGAGTGCATCAAAATAGATGGTAAAAATAATAATAATAATAAATAACGGAGGAAAATTTTGTGGGGTCATTTGACCCACATGACCCCATGTGGGTCCGCGCCTGAATGTTACAAGCTGGAAAAATATGGACAGAAATTCAGCAAAATTAGTCACCTATACATACAAATACTCAATTCTGATGAAGATCAATTCACGTGTCCTACAAAACAAGATGGATGTTAAATAAGCATACTTGAGGAGACTTACTATCGAAGTAGCAAATATACATTGTAACTAGGAATGAGCTTTAATACCACTTTGCACGTTATATGTCTACAAAGTGTAGACTTTGTGTCGGCTTGCATTATCTAGTGGGTAAAAGACTGACTAATAAATGGCAAACAGTGTATAAAAAAGTGCTTGCTTGGCTAAACTTTTAAGCGCTTATAAGGTCCCATGCTATACCGATTCGATTTGAGCTCTTGAAATTAGAATAAATCAGCAAATCACGAAATCTTGGTGACACGGAATGTGTGGTTAAAAGTAGATAAAACATGTTAGTCCTAGGAAATGTGAGGATTAAAATAGAGATAAAACCTACCCATAAGCAATTATAAACTTTGCCAAACATGCACTAAATTGAGTATGAGGGCGTTTCCTTGCATAAGGAAATGCAAGGCATAGGCCTCACTATGAATCACCAAAATAATCTAACAAACTATCAAAATACAAAATTTTACATAGTAAACAATAAATCATCTAAAAAATCTATAGCAAAAACATTTCTACAATGTTAAAAGTCTTATATACAACTAGAAGCATAAAATGGATCCACCAATTAGCTACCACACGAACAGGCCATTAATCCACAACTATAACTGAAAATGCTAAACTAAATCAAACAACTAAATAACTACTTGCCAGATTTTTCATTGCTCCGACTCCAAAAGGAAATAAAAACCCACAGACAGCAAGAGGAAAAATAAGAAGGATGTGTGAAGTTGAATGTCGTAGGTCACCAATCACCCGTCATCAGCCTCCTGAAAATTGTAACATCACTTTGAAGGGATCAAACTTTAGATGGACTAAAGGGCTAGGCCATGTGGGCTTTTCACTTCTCTTTCTATAATCTCCAATTCTTTTCCAGTTTCTAAGGATGAGTTGTGCTTAAAATAGCCTAAAAACCTAAAAATTTCTTGGCTATGAGATATAAATCAGCCCTAAAAGCTGTTGCAGGTTGAGAGAAGGTCCAAAAGGCATAACTAAGAAGTGCAAATCTCAGCAGCCCTTAGGCACGTGCCTTAGTAAGTCTACGATATATTGGCGGTCTGTTAGGACTCCGACCAAAAAAAAGAAGCTGCTGTAAAAGAACACAGAAATAAGTAATTGAACTTTTAATTGTATTGAAGAAATTGACTACAGAACAGAAGGATAACAAACTTAGATAGGAACTCTCCACCATCTCCTCTCTATTCTCAATTTATGCTTTGCCCCTAGACTCTCCTTCTACCTCTATTTATAACTTTCTCCTAACTAAGGCCCCGTTTGAGCCACATTAATGTAAGAATGAGAATGAAAAATATAGTCGTTATGAGTCCCACACAAGAGATAGAAAGTCAAATATGATGGCTTGATGTGATGGATAACGATCATATTTTACATTTTAATGGGCAAAAAATAGGAAAAAAAACGGGGCTAATTCTGCCTAACTACTTTCCCCCTGCAACAGAATGCAGTTCCCCTTTCCTGCCAGCTGGTGAGTCATACTTCTTTACTCTTCTAGAATAAGTGAATCGGATGGGAGGCTTATTGCGGTCATAGTCAATTATTGAAATTATAGGATGGTTTCCGATAGAATGCATATATAATGAAAGCATATATGTGGACAGAAGAACAAGAGTAGTCAGAAATATTAGAAAAAGAAACTAGGGGAAGGGTAATGCTTCAAATATCCAACAAAACAGAGATATCAATCATCAAGAATTTTCAATGCTTTAGACGAGATATACAGAGATGAGAGACTTCATTGCAGGAAAATTACAAAACATAGATCAAGTTTGGCATTACAGCGAAAAAAGGCTCTCCGGGGAATGCTATATAGGACTGACTGCCAAAGTAGTTAAAACAGGCCCATAAATAGCAACGTGAATAACTGTAAATACCAAAACCCGCTTGACAGCAATTGTCAAAAGACTCCAATATAACATATTAAATCTTATCGCGCCCATGCATTAACTGTGCTTGCGTCAAATTCTCTTTCACGTTTTCTAACTTCCTGGAATTCAATACTCTTGCGAACAAGTGTCCGAGGAACATTGTTAAGTAGCATTGGAGAGAAGTCAACACACAGTTGTACATGAGTATATACATATAATCGTCCATGGTAAAAATTATGGACTTAAATGAAAAACAAATAGATATGGCAGAATAGTAAAGATTTAACGATTGTCCCTTACCTGATGTAGTCATTTAACTGGCCTCGAAGAAAGCAGAGACCAATTTTCTCCTGCTGATGCCAGCTTGCAAATGAACTAAAAACCTTCCATGACAGTAAACTTCAGCTTAATGCCAAAACATGCATCCCCCAAATTATACAAGGAGCAATTGGAGGAAGCAACATAAAGTTAAAATCAGTATAGATACATCAATTCATCTTTATTTTACACGTCAACCACTATTTCGGACAAGAATGATTGCCATCATGCACGTGTTTATTTGGGCATAAACAAGCCAAATCTTGTTTTGCATCTGTGTCGGAAATGGAAAAAAATAAGGAGAAGCAAGCATACGTTGGGAAGAAGAAACACATCCATTTTTTAAACAGAATGTTAAAGCATATGTACCTCATAGAAGGAATTATAACATCGACGAGAAAAGAGATCTAAATATGTAAATTAAAATAAATTCCAAGGACAGGCTTTAAATTCGAACATACTGCTCGATAAAGGTCGTGTCATCAGATTTAATACAGGATATCCCAATAGACAAGCGAAACCTAATATGTATAGGAAAAGTCTAATAGAGGGAAGAATTTTAATTTCGAAAAACCTCAGTTAAATTAGAAAATATATTATGATTTCCATAGTTCCAAGATACCAGCTCGAATCAAGCCGCTGTTCCGTTGTCGAACTCAGTCGCGAGAGGATCCAGTCATCGGGCGTTTGTCGTTTCATGCCAACAAAGTAGAATAGGTAATTAGGGTTTTCATAGTTTTCAGAAACCAACTACGGAGGCCGGCAGCTACCGATCAAATCGCGGTCAGATCCGATCACCGGCGTTGTCATTCGATGCCAGCAAAGGAGAATGACAAGCCTGACAAAAGAGCTTTCCTTTCCTTTTATAAATGGTGCTAGTTAGGAACCTAGCACTACTATGAGCCCTGTAGTTTAGAACTGGGTTAGGACGCTATGAAAAACTCGTTTGTCAAACTTGTAATTCTCCGTCAATTTAACATCGAAATATAAAATTTTTATCAGACGAACTCTTCTTCTATGATAGAGAGTAGAGAGGTAGAAATGGCTTGTGAGTAGATTTGGCTAACTTTAAGCCCCGTTTGACCCCCACTATTCGATGTTATAATTTTTGGAATAGCGTTCTTTTAAAAACTTTGTGGTTAAAAAAGAAAGGATTTTTTATTTATTTATTTATGTATGATATTATTGTATTAAAGATTGTGTAATTAAAAAAAAAAAGTGAAAATTATATTATAAATTTAATGGGCTCAAAGAAGGAGATGTTCAAAAGTTAAATGTCTATTTTATCCTTAATAACTACGGCCACTCTCTTGCTTCAAGTCGGACATACCTTCTCCATTTATTTATTTTTTATATCTTCCCACACTAAAAACAAAATTTTATACTTATTTCACATTTAAAAAAAATAAAAACCAATCACAAAAGCAAGGGAAAAACAAACATTTTGAGTTTCATTTTAAGTATAGAAGTCGTGGGCAACAAAGTGATTGACTGGTTGTAGAAAAAAATTATTGAAAATCAATTTTGAACTTGACTGTCTATTTACTAATTATCAATACATTAAAGATAAACATATGAAAAATTTGTCATTTAAGTACGAAGTTATTACATTCTCAACGCGAAAAATAAACGAAGATTATTAATATTTTCCATTGATTAAAGGAGTTCATTACATGAAAATAGTGATTGATAGAGTCCATTCATCGTTTGCGATGAGAACTCATTTAACTTACACCTCACATACCATCCACTCTCTACAATACAAAACCTTTTTCTGGAGCACGAATCTTTTCTTTAGTGACTTCTAACTTTTCTATTAGTTAACGAACTTAGATTTGGATCTCAATTGGCCATCTATACATTTCCTCTTGTGGTACTGGGATTTTCATAGTCACCAATCCAATCGCACCTTCGTAGTTAAAGTCGGTCTCGATATTGCCCACTTTGCATTTGATCGGACACTGAGAACAATAGACGCCAAAACGTCTACATCCTCTCACCTTAAGAACAATGGTAGCTACTGGTAACATATTTTCACTTAAAGGAAGCTCAGAGATAATTTCACCATCAATGTTCTCAGGTTTCGTCTGAGACGTTAGATATACTTCGAATTGCTCCACCGCACCGCTAGAGTTGAGCATATCAAGTAAGCCGATTGGTGCAAAGGAAATGTTTCGTGTAACATCCTACATATTAATGCAATAGCCAATTGAAGACTAGATTTTAATGAAAATAATAACTCAGTTCGACGTGATATAAAAAAACAGTTCAAGTCTCACAATCATCCGTTATGAAAATTGTGACCTGGTAAAAAGAGGTTAGGTCTATATAAAACTCACCTTGACGGGACAGAAGTGGAAGAGTTCATATTCGAGGACTTGAAGGGTAACAGGCAGTGAAGCACCTTTTGGCAATCGAACCACCTCCCCTGTTCTAGGGGAATAAACTATTGTATCCCCATTCCAGTCTTTTCCAGCGATCTGAGCTATAGCATCCACATCAGTGGCTTGAACAGAACCAGACAGAGTTCCTGGAGAGGCGTCATGAATTCGCGTTTTCTTTGTCACCTTGCACCAACCAGCACCTTGACAGTTGAAAATGCCAACCACTCCACAAAATTTGTTCACGTTCCAGATTTTAAGTAAGCTGGATAATTGAGCATTGCAATTTAGTTTTATCTGGTGACAAGCTTAAGGATACACGACACAAATGAGAAATGACATTGCAAACCTTGTCCCGTCTCTAGCAGGATCAATGAAGAGACAGTCAATGGTGGGGCGCCCGGGTAATTGTGCACGAAGAACTGATCCATCGGGAAGCACCAGTTTCTTTAAAAGCTCGAAGTTGTGGTTACCAGGCTTGTCACTAAATAGATAGCAAGGAGAGGGTTCAATGTTATGTTTTGAATGAAAAGAAATACAGAGAATGAACTAGAATGACGTACGAAGATACCTAACATAAATTGAACATCCTCCAACAGCTCGAGCTGCAGCATGATACTCAGCAGCTGGGTGTAAGCTCTGCAATACAAGTTCACCGGTCACTATATGATGAATATTCATGATTACATATATGAATGAAAATATGTTTGATAGAAGAATTAAACAGATCTGTAGTCAAGAGGATAAGTAAACATTATACAGTACTTGATCCGACACTAACTGGAGAAACAAGTTTGATATCAATAAACTAAATTCATGTGACATACTCACGTGGAACATATCCCAATCAGGTTGCATGAACTCTCCCAAGAACACTGTGTTGTAGGCTACAGACGAGATATGGATGGTGTGAGAAGCAGGATCACGAGGATAATAATCATCAGAAGCTCGAACTACAGAAGTCAGCTTGGCGCTGTATATGCCATCAGTATTGTGACACATGCAAGCAATGCATCCATTATCAGGAAAATTTCGAGCTATTGAGGCTTCTAGTGCCTGGTGGTAGCTACGAGTAAGAGAAACTCGACCACCATGGCCAGCACCAAGAGTCTCAATGATATTCTGTACATCGACTTTGACTCCATCTACCCCACAAGAAGCCAGATAGGCATGAAGCTCATTGTAGAAATTGAAAACCTTCTGAGGGTGCACCAGACCTAAACCGTGAATTGCTAGGCTATCCATAACAATATCGGGTTGGTTGCCCAGTACACCTGGAGACTGCACAGGGTACGCCAAAGCAGTATCATAATGTTCCATACCAGGACCGGCTGGCTGCACTCCACCCCAGTAACCTGCTAGTGCATGCCATACATATACATACCTGTGGAACAAAGGAAGTAACAAGCAAGTGAACTTAACATTAACTAGAATAGTAAATCATTTGCCTTGCTTGGTAAACATTTGCATATGCAGAATGGCAATTACAAACTCTAGTTACAAGATTAACAGAGGAAATAAATGATAATTCTAAAATATACTATTTCAGAACAATATAAACATGCTCATTTTGACCCTAGGCAAGGACGCATGATATTATAGAAATTCAAAAAAAATGCAGAAACTTACTCCAAAACATAGCGAGCTACAAAACCTAGCTGGGAAACTTACTTAACACTGTGGCGTTGCTTGGCTTCATCCACGACATGTTTGAGGCCTGATTCATTTTCTTCATTCTTTTTATTTTTTTGGAATTTTGTGTTCTCCTTTATTCCTGTTAGCCTGTTGGCAAACCTAAAATAGCACAAAAGCATCAACACTATGTCAATAGCTCAAGAGTTAACACAGTGTAAAGAAATATGTAAAATTTTACCATAATCAAGCTGCACAAATGTTTTAAAATGCAAGCATTACAAAGCAATTTTAATTGTTATTCCAAACCATTTATTTTGTGATATAGGACTAGGTGTCTTACTGTGCGCCTTCTTGCACAATACAATTAGTGTCTTCCTTGACCTCACTACCAATTTGTTGCCAACCATCATCTATTATCAGGAAACGTGGAGGTGTACCTCCCTCAGACAAGCTGCAATATAAAATAAATTAGCAAATTGGATCTCAATTTACCATGACTTCCCCACCTTATTTTTCATTTAGGGTATGGAAACTAAAAAATAAAAATCACCAGTTTTCACCTCTTAAGGCCTTCTTCAACACCTTCGGCAGTGACATCAGTGTAGAAAGCATCCCATGTGCACCAGCCAAACCAGTCAAGAAATGAGGGCAACTATGAATCAAGTACAAAATATAGTATTGTATAGTAAGTGAATGAAAGTCAAAATCATCATCTTCGTCAAATTCATCAAGCATTTCTGAGAAGTACATCTTAAGAAGAGAATCGTACCTTCTTCTTCTCTCGGTGATGAAAAGTTTGCAAATGTTGTTCAACAGCTCTGTATCATAGAAAAAAGGCCGCATGTATCAACAATTAGAGCAACAAAAAGAATCACCAGTAAAATTCTTAACAACCAAGCTAGTTAGCACTTGGGTTACAATGTCCATGGATCAAAAAATGTCTAGCTCCTTTTCAAGAACGCTAAGTGGGAAATGTTCATAAGAACTTACTTCACAGCCTGGTTGATGACTTCAAAAGGATTGGTCCCAGCATGCATGTAAACAAGGTAAAGTCCTTGGTTGGTTTCAACAGCATTATCACCTGCAACAAATCAGACCACAATAAACAAGTCTGTTTCAATTCTTGCCAACTTATTCCTTAATAATTTATCTTCCTCACAATTTTATAAACTCCAGCAATCCATTCATATGATAGACATGAATTCTTCATGTCAGCGCTGTTTGCTTTAGTTATTTGTCAAACCCTATTGATAATGCC